AATAAAAATATATTGTTCTATGTTAATTTACTTTTATTTTGGCATCAGCAGCACCTGACATAATATGTCGAACATTAGCATGTAATGCTGTTACTTCAGCTTCATGTCTATCATCATATTGTACTTGATCAAATGTATCCATAGACCATACTCGAATTGTTTGATCGCTTGATGCACTTATTAAATTTGATTTATTTAAATTATCAGCACTAAGTATGCAAAGACCATGAACAGTGGCTTCATGTTGACAAGTAGTTTCTAAACAACGATTAGCTCGAATATCCCAAATCTATTAAAAGAAAAACTAAGTAAATCTTATTAAATTTTATTTATTTTCAAAAACTTACATAAATAGTACCAGATAATGCACCAGCAAAAAGTAATGTATCTGAATGAGCTAAACTATAAATTGAATCATTTGTTGGTAATTCAAATTCAAACGATATTTGATGTGTCATTGCATCAAATATCTAAAAACAAAATTTAATATAGAAAAAACCAAAATAATAATAAAGGTTGTGATTTAAGTAGTCAGTTGAATAGATGAAATATTCAGTACAAAAAAAATAAAAATACAAATGATCAGTATTAAGATGGAATGATCAGTACTTGAATAATCAGTAAAAAATTCAGATTTTGTCAGCAGAAGTTTTTTTATTCATATAAAATAGAGCATGAGTTTGAATGAATTTTCATTTCATTCGCATCCTTATGATCATTGTATTCTGCTTCAGTTTTATAAACAGTAACTTTTTTCATTGTCTACATGATATAGCAGATAAATACTTGCTCTATCATAAGGTAAACAACTAGACATGTGCAGGACCCAGGTTTTTGGTTCTGGTTCCGATCTAGAGAAATCTATTCGTAACACAACGAAAAAAAATCTTTCGATACTCGTTTTTTTTTATTTACTTGGTCGACGACTAGCACTTTTGTGGGTCACTTTCCTTCAATTGTGTTCTAATTGATGATTTATAAGATAAATTGCTTAAAATCAAAGAATGTTTAACTATAATCTTTAGCTCCAGTTCGAACAACTTTTGTTCTTGTAGTCTCGGTACCAGCCCCGCACATCTCCATCCACGACGCTTGACTTTGTTGCATCTATAATAAACTGTTCTGCTATTTGTTGTAGAATTCATATAAAGTTTTGACTACTCATTTTCAATTGGTGTTTCTGCTCTATTAACGTTATCAAATATAGCTTCGTTAATCTAGTATTTTAATTTCTTTTTTTTTTGGTAAGGTCTTTCATCTCCATTTATGTCATAATTTTCTTTCATAACTTCTTAACCTGACATATCACTTTCATACGGAACAACTTGTACAGCGTTCCATCTCTTTACTCGTGAACTCTGATAAAGGAACATTCTCAACTGTCCAATCGCTTTTCAATTGAGACTATTGCTATTCGATCGATCATGATGAGTAGTGAGAAAGTCTGTTGTAATTTGGTTTTCCAATCGTGACTTGCTGAGTTATGGATGTTTTACTCGATTCTTGCCCAATGAGCATAGAATCGCTGAGAACCTAAATAATCGAATATCGAACTGAAATTTCGTCCATAGATAGACCTTATCGTCACTAAAAACACCGCAAAGTTTAGTCTAGAACAAATCGGTTCGTATCGAGATATCAGCTTGTGATAAAGACATCCCTCGTTTGACATACAGCTCAAAACAGTCGTTTCTTTAAAATATACCGGGTGAACTAAAAGTTTTGCGATATTTCAAAAAGAAATTAATTTATTTCAAGAGAAAACAAAGTAATAAAATAATAATATAATGGTTCAAAAGCTACAATAGAGTACTAATGGAATCAACTATGTTCATCTATAATTAGTTCACTATCGTGTTCTTCCACTGAACGTACTCCTCGAAGGAAAGCGTTGACTACGTCTCGTATATAATTAATATCAACTTTCTTGATTGCTTTTTCGATTTCTTGACACAAATCATTGATTGTTTTGACTTTATGATATTACACGTGATTTAAGATATTATCCTAGATCGAATAATCCAACGGATTAAACTCTGGAGAATATGGTGACCATTTTGTTTTCAGGATGAAGAATTTGAAGTTCTGTTGGCATCATTTTTGAGTCTTTGTACCAGTATGAGAGCTAGCTCCAATTTTTGTGTCCAAATAGCCGATCATCCTCATTTTTATAAAATGGTAACAATTGTGTATAATAGTTTTCGTCATTTAGGCGTTCGTCTTTTTGAAAAAAGTATGGATATGTAAATCCATACCATGTTACACCCAATACAACGATGATACTCACCGGATGTGTTTTCATTTTATGTAGTTCATTGCATTCATTAGTAACCGATTGATTATCAGCTTACACAACGTCATTTTTTGGATTGAAAAAAAAAACCATTTTTGGTAAATATTTTTTTCATCAGTAAGCATTATTTTTTTTAATTTATCACGGCTGATGTTCTTCCTAACCCATTGGCCACATGATTTTCTTATTGGTTTTTGATCTTCTTTTAACTTTTGAATATTAATTTTTCGACAACATTTTTTATTTAAATCAATATTGAGTATCCGCTTGATAGTTTGAGTACTACTTTTAAAGTCTTTTGCCATTGTTCGTAAACCTTATCGAAGTATGTTAGAATCGAGACTTTTTTTGCACCAAATAGATGGGCTTTTTTTGTACGACAGTTCTTGGTCTTTCTGATTTCGACTACCGACGTTCGACAAATATCTTAATAAGGATACGTTCGTTGTGACTGAAACTATGAAGTGTTTCTAATGATCATAAGACCTAATTGTAGACAAAATTTCAGTTCGAAATTCGATCATTCAGATTCTCAGTGACCCTATGATCATCGGACAAAATCGAATAAAACGCTCATAACTCAACAAGCAAATATCGGAAAACTAAACTTAAACAAACTTCTTTTTACTATACATCATGATCGATCGAATGGCAATAGTCTCAAATGAAAAACAATTGGATAGTTGGGAATGTTTCCTCGCGTAAACTGCAGTCAGAAGAAAGAAAAGTGAATCACACGATACCGCATTTCGATTTCTATATTGACTTCTTGATTTAATTGATTATAAAAATTTTATTTACTAGTCTTTAAATTTATTCACAAATTTGATTCATTACTAATTGACTATTCAAGTTAATATACTGATCATTCATTCAATTTAATTCAATGATTATTTCATCTATGTTATTGATCAAATATTGTGTTTCGAAAAAATAATTTACTTTAATTACACGTCGACATCCAGCATAAATACATTTATCTTTTTGCATTAAAATTCTTAACCAACCATTTCGACTATCAGTTTGAATTTCATTTATTAATTCTAATGTTTGTATATCCCATACTTTCAAACATTTATTCGAAGAACTGTATAGGTAATTATCATATTGTGTTAATGAACATACAGGATCTTTTTATTTTATAGATAAAGAATAAAGTTTTTCTTTAAAAAAAAACCGAAATCTTCTTACCTGTATGAGCAACAAATGATGTAGTTTGCTTATAATCATTTAAATTCCAAACCTAGAAAATAAAAATACCCAAATAGATGGTATAATATATCTGAAATATGTTTTTTTTTTTAATACTATTATTGATTTATCAACACTACCACTAAATACTGTTCGTTCTTTAACAGTTAATGATAAAACACCTTCTTCATGACCATGTAAAGTTGCAAGATTTGTATATGGAGTTTCACGTAAATTCCAAACCTTATTAAGAAAAATTTTGATATATAAAAATTTTATGGTTGTTTTGTTTCTTCTTACTTTAACTGTTTTATCAGTAGAACCACTAAGAAGAACATCATCTAATGCATATAAACACCAAACAGTATCACTATGTCCGGTAAAGGTTCCATTGCAACGTAAAATAACAGTTGATAATTCATTTTCATCATCACTATCTAATATAAAATGTAAGATAAAATTTCTATTGCAGATGAAGGGGTCGATAACTGGTAAATTTGGCCTCTTCAATGAATTTGATTTTTTCTATGCCAAACTACCACACAAAATGTCCGAAAGTGAACCTTGGTAGAACTAGTTCTATAGCACTTATTTGTGCTGCATACAAGTCGGTTGAAATAGTCAATGTCCATCACATGTATATCGAACCTGATTGTTTATTATAATCAGTACTTTTTATCCATCCATCTCATTAACGACCAAACTATTTTCATACAGTACTTTTCAAACGCTCCAAAATGGTATAAAAGAAGATTGACCATTCAAACAAATCCTAGTAACACTATTCTTGAAACAAGATTTTGAGCCTTGTTTTTTACTAATATTCAGTAGGTTTCGATAAGAAAATTACGTTTTAAATGAAAACTAATATGATATTCTGAATTAATATCACTAACTGAGATGAATTTCATTCAGAAATTACTATAACAGTGGAAATCAAGTTCTAAGATTATATAAAAAACGATAGTAGAATTTCAAATATCAGACGAATAAACAATGAAAATAGAGTTTTCGATAAAATTCATTCTTTGACTCAATTTTCAGGTGAATCACGGGTGAATTTTTCAACGAAAAAAAAAGTTTGTCAAAATATTTGAAATACACGCACGTCCACTCGTTTTTGGATGCTTATTCAGAATATCATATTAATTCTCATTTAAATCGTAATTTATCAAACTCTACTGAATGCCAGTACAAAAAACCAAGGCTCGAAATCTTGTTTCGAGTACGATGATCTTAGGATTTACTTGAATGGTCAATGTTTTTTATACCATTTTGAAGCACTTCAAAAGTACTATATGAAAATAGCCTAGTCACTCATGAGATGGGTAGATAAAAAGAGTTGACTACCATCAACAGTTGAGTTCAATGTACATGTGATAGTCATTGATTAAATCAATCGACCTGTGCTCAGTACAAATAAGTACTATATGGCTAATTCTACCAGAGCTTCCTTGTCGGACATCTTATGTGGTAGTCTGACATAGAAGAAATTAAATTTATCGGGGAAGCCAATTTCAACAGTTATTAACCATTCTTCTTTATTTATACCATGATTTCTTAAGGATTCTTGTTCATCTATAGTTGTTGGTATAGGTGATGTTTGTTTAGTTTTCATTAATTCACTCTAGAAATTAATTTAGTTAAAAAATAAAAATAAAACTATAAAATATAAAAAATATTTACTAATAATAAATCATTTCTTGAACATAAAGCTTCTTGATTAATTTTTAACGTATCTGAAAAATAATAATAATAATAAAAAAAAAAGATCGAAAATCATTAAAATTTAAATAATCTTGTTTTTTTATTTACCAATTTCATTTCGCATTGAAGCAACTGTATTTGTAAGTTGTTTACATGTATTCATAAGAAAATCAAGTTGTGTTATTTTTAATAATAATTCTTCTTGAAATATTTGGAATTGATCATTATTCGTATTTATTGTTGAATTTAATTGAGATATTTGTCGATTTGAACATATATGTAGATGATTATAAATATCCTAATAATCTTTTCTTTCTTTATGAAACTAGTCATTTGTATTTTTTTGTAAATGAATAAATATATTTACTCACTTTTTGACGAAGATTATTGAGTAGACAACCATTTGGACAATTAACAAATCGATAAATACATTCGTCTTCATGTTGTCTAAATTAAAAAATAAATAAACAAAAAAAAAAAAACATTTTTTTGTTTCTTTTTAATCACTACTCATTTATTTGATTTAAAAATTATAGAGCAGTTTTTTATACATTATAACGAACAAAATATTTTCTCAAAAATAAATATTATAATAATAAAACAAAAGAAAAAAACAAATTACTTTTTTTTTATAAATGGAATTTTTACAGGACAACCATTTTCATCACGTTCATTTTTTATATCACTACCAGTTATTTGAGATTTTTTAAATGCATATTTACACCAAACAAGTAATGAATCAATTTGTTCAGCAACAATATGATTATTAACAAATGTTTGAAGAATTTGTTGATCATATGGACATAAAACTAAGATAAAATTTCTATTTAAATCAATAAGATGATAATATCAGTTGCCTACTTGTTGTAGAAATACATATTCGACAAAAGGTGTGCTGTAAAATTAAATTACATAAATATTAAAGCAAAAAAATAAATAAATAACTCACTCCACATTGTGCAATAATCGGATCTCGAAATAGTCGATGACAAATAGGACATTTCAAACATGAATTAGATTGTTCATCGATATATATAATATCCTCCTGTGATGAATTCGATACATTTTTTTGTAGATTTGTCTCAGCCATTGAATCAGATCTAGAGTTCTCTCTTAGATATAGATACATTCAAAGTGCTTATTATTATTTTTTTTCTTTATATCTGTTGTTTTTTTTTCACAATAATGATAAATTCACTGTTATGAAAGAAAAAAAAGAATATAATCAATAAACTAGGAAATGTTTCAGTTACTCAAACAAATAAATATGCATGATAACAGATATATATATATATATGTATGTATATATATATTAAAAATCAAAAAATAAAAATTGAATATTTTTGTTATTTATTTTGTTAACTCGATGGCAAGCCAATTGTTTTAAAAGTTTCACCATCGAATAAAACTGATCGTTTTGGTAAACAAGTGGAACGAATACCATGTGAGGAATGATGACTTGGCATATTGCATGGTGAAGAATCAGATGGCTAAAATAATTTAAAGAGTCAATTATTTTGAATTTTTATTGTTTAAAAAAAAAGACACATCTTATTGCAAAATTTTATCGGACAGAAGAAACAACAACTCGCATATTTAAGAATTAAAACGAATATGTGACATGTCATTGAGAATAGAGCAGAGATGTGCAACGCTCACACACTAAAATCAAATATGGCTCATCTTTTGACGGCTGCGCCTTTATCATATTAGTTGCTAAACTCTGTTGTTAGAAGTTTATAAAAAAAAATGTATATTAAAGAAATGATTTAAAGTAAATTGTAAGTGATATTAATTAAAAATTATTCTGATAGCAAATCAATCTAACTCAAAGCTTAGTGAAATCCGCTGTCATGACCATAATATTCAAATTCGCCTTAAGCTTAAATTTATGCAAATTTAATTGTAAAATAGGTTAAGATAGAAACGAGAACCATATCAGCATAAATTATTATGCTACAAATATAAGGAAAAAATTTGTCCAGTTACCATTTAGCGCAGTGCACATCTTTGGTATATAGAACTTTTTCATTCTATGCTACAAACAGAAAACGTTAAAGAATTCGACCTTTCTATTTTCAACTTCAACAAATGAAAATCAGGACACAATAAGTGTTACGAATGTGTCATATTACTAGCATTGCTCATTAAAGAAGAATTAGAAGTGGCTGTTTCTATTAAGGTTACCGAAAGGAAAAAAAAATTCTCATCAGAGAAAGTTTGTGATAATTTTCATTTCTGACATAGAATTCGCATCTGAACTCGATCGGGTCCGAATCCAAAAACTTTGGACTCGACAGGTTCTATTCTGAACTCTTGTACAAATAAACGATAGAAACTCAAAAAACGAAATCACAGCTTCTATTTCCCTATGGTATTTCAATTGTCTAAAACTGATATTCTCCCTTCATTCAAAAAAAAAACAAAATCATAAAGCAATCTTTTACCAAGATTTAACTCTTTATTATGGGAATATTGATCAAAGAAAAAAATTACCTGGAAAAGTTCAATAAATGCTGTGAGACTTGTTGAAAGAGTTTCAAGACTTTTTAATCGTTGTTGTACTCTATCACAATAAAACAAAAATAAAATAAAATAAAATTTATTTCTACAATTTTATTTCATACTTCTCTTTTCTACATAATTTATTTTTAACAATACTATTACGAATCGTCTCGCTTATTTGTTCATCAAACAAAGGAATACCAAATCTAAAACAAATAAATATTTATTAAACAAAAGATGACTATAAGTTTTTCGATAATTTTTGACTATAATAAGGAATAGGTGTAAGTTTCTCGAAAAAGACTTTCGCTATCTAATGATGTATGCTGTATTAAGGTTCTACTATGTACTGCTAACACGCCGATAAGTGACACCATCTATTGACATGCGAACAGTGCACAGTAGGACTTGATACAGCATACATCATTAGATAAAAAAAGTCTGTCTCTACAAGTCTACATAAATTCGATTGTGTAGTCAAAATCTTATAGCAGAGACGTACATCGCAGTTGAAAATCTGACCCTGTCGCGGTGGCGGCAGCACCTCCATGGATATCTCTGTCTTATAGTCGCTTTTCAATTTATTTTGTTTTTTTTTTACCTAACATCTAATACAACTTCTTGAGAATTCGTTGATGATAATGTTAACATTGATACATAACCACATGTACTCTGTATATCAATAGCTGAATTTAATTGTTCTAATACAGGATGTTGTTCAATTGATTCAAATGGAAATGGTATATGTCGGATTTGTTGATTATCATCTTTAAAATTATTATTACCATATGAAAAACCTTGTAAAAGTACAGCTGAATGAAGTAATGCTTCATTAATACTTAATAAAATATTAACATTTGATATATATGTTGGTTCATGATTCCATGTTGTAACAAGAAATTTATCAAAAATTTTTAAACAATCTGGTAATGTATTTAAACGAGAACCTTTTGATAAAAGTAATGATGGTGGACCAGATTTGATTAAATGATAAATAAATAATTTCATCCATACACTATTCATTTCTTGTAAACATGGTCCTAAATAATCAATTGAATTAAATGGTGAATAAATTGTTTCTGCAGTAACAGGTGCCATTGATATTAATATATGATAATTACGTTCAATTAAGCGTTGACGAATATTTGAATCAAGACTTGATAAACTTTCATAACGAATTAAATCAACACCAAGACTACCAATATCATCATCAAATAAATCATTATTTAAACGTAAAAATAATATTGTTTGATAAAGTACACGTGCATGTAAAAAATAACGATCAGCTTCACCTTGACTTTGATTATCATCATCAGAAGATTGAATTGATGATTGTGATAGAGGAGAAATTTTTTCTAATTCTTGTAAAAACGAAACAAGTATTTCATCAGCTAATTTACCAACTTCAAACATAGTTACAGCATGAGTTTTTAAATTTGGTGATAAATTACCCATCATTAAAAATGCTGTTAATGATGAATCAAATAAAAACCCGATACGTTTTTGTTTTAATGTACCACTAACAATAGATGTAGAAGTATTATCAAGTGAATTAACACTATTAGTTGGAGATAATAGAATTTTCTAAATAGGAATAGATTTAAAAAATTAAAAAAAACTATCGAACTTATCGGAGTTTTTTTTTTCAATTCTTATAAATGAGAGATTTTCTCTTATAGACGAATAGAAAAGTGTAAGTAGTTTTAGTCAAAAAGAAAAACAATCAATCTATATAAACATTTTGTAGATCATGATTTCTTTTAGATTATGATTTTCAATAAGATTCCTAATGTATTGTATTCTGTATTCGATTCTTTTTCTAAAAAGAAAATGAAGAATTCCTCAATATTTTAAAATTTTTTCAAATACACACGGAAGAAAAACAATATTATCGATTGCCACCGTCTTGAAATCATACGTAACTCATTCTGAGACGTAAGAGGGTGTGGGTGTGGCTATTCTCTGTGCCCATGCCTTAATGACCACGTTTCTTCTGTTCATCTCACTATTATTAAAAAAGATATTGCATCTAAAACATCATCCTATGTACTCAAAGCCCATATAGATATAGTTGGATGCGAATCACTCTTTGTTTACATATAAACTAATTTTTATTGAAGTCCAAAATTTATAGGACACCCTTTATCCATATATAAATTCATTGATCTTTTGTTCTCGTTTTTTGCACAATTTTCAGTATGAGTTTGTATGCTATTAGAGATGGAATCGGTTGGTTTGAAATCCATACCGATATTTCATCTGTAGGTAGAGAGATTTGACGCATTCAACTTTCAACAAAGTTTCATTACACGTCCTCTATGAGATACTAAGAGCAAAAAAACAAAATAAATAAAACATGTCGGTACCGGTTCCATCTCTGTATCATATACTAATATCCGAAGCAAAAAATATATTTTTTTAAAATTCTATTCATTTTTCAATTTCATGAATTTGATTTTTATCTTACTTGTTCATCTGTTGTACCAATTGATATATTATCATCATCATTCAATGATGTATCCATTTCTAAATCAGTTTTCCATTCTAATAAACTTTTATCCATTGTTGGTGATGTTATTATTATTTCTTTTGGTGGTGGTGGTAATTGTAAATTAGCACCTGTAGAAAAATGTTTCCATGTTGTATGAATAACACCATAATCATAATCTAAATTTTTCTTTCTTGCAAAACCTAATCTTAAAAACATTGACATTGTTTGTTTAACTAAATCAATATCTAATGTTAATATTCTTGATAATTCTCCAACATTTGTATGTTCATCTGTTGATACAAATAATTTATAAAGTAATACTTCAAAATAATCTCCAACAATACGATTCATAACAAATCCTGAACCTAATGGTGGTACTTGAATATAATCATTATCAGAAACAGGTACATCCAAATAAACTAAACCTTTACGATAAAGTGCACGTATTGCATCATAATTAAGTTCACCAGCTAATTTTGAAGATTTTTCATCAATAAGATAATCAATTATTAATTTTTCTTCATTTGTACATTGTTTAACATCATCATCAGTAACACAACCTAAATTAATAATCCACCATGGTTGAATATGTAGGGAATCAACAGGTTGTGATGGTAATAAATGACGAATTGAAGCTGGAGTTTTTGAAGATGTTAAACTAAGAAACATTTTTTTTCTTGTCGTTTGTAATATTGTACGTGATTGATTTATTAATTCAATATATTGATTACGACCAATACCAAGTAAACGAAGACAATCAGCAGCTTGAAAAGAAAACAAAAAAACAATTATTTTTTTTTTTTATGAAAAGACAAAATAAGATTTCTTTTTTGTCTTATTTACCAGTAAAATTTGGTAATGTATCATAAGATTTTTCTTGAAGAATTAAATCACTTATCATATCAATATAAAAGGAAAATGGTGTTACACGTAAACCTTTAACATATATTTCTGATAAATGATAAGGCTATTAATTCGAATAATAATTAATAGAAATATAATAAAAAATAAATAAATGAATATTAACTTACAAAAAGCATTAAATGTTCACGACTATAACGTAAAAGATCATCATAATATTTTCTAGAATCTTTATGAACTTTTCGAACTAAATAAAAATTGATGAAGAATATAATTTTAATTTCTTTTCTTTTTTATGTTACTTTAAATACCTAAATTTCCTTTATAACGAAGTTGATGTTTTATTGAAAATGTTAATATTGCTTTATCATAATCTTTTTCTGTATTCCAACCGAATTTCTATAAAAAAAAAGACGAAGATTTAAAATACACAACGAGAAAATATAAAATCACTTGTTTAACTTCGGCTGGAAGATGATTCCATTCAACATTTGTGCGAATGTAATGTTCAGCTAATTGAGTCTCCATGTAAAGATCATTATCAGTAGAACGAATCTAAACACGTAACACTTTTCTTATTGATCTTAACCGATCAATGATTCATTGATAAAATCGAACCATTTGGATTAGTTACGAAATAGTTGGTATTCGATAGATGTCATTCCTAGACAGATTATATTTAAAAACAAAAGAAGATATTGCTCTATGTGAATCAATATCCAACTTATCTCTGATGAATGAAAATCATTATGTGACAGTCTCTTTTGCAAGTTTGACACATTGTTAAAATCGATCCAAACATTGTGAGAACTAGTGATTTCAAGTGAACTCATTTTCTGTCATTTGGATTTTATTGCCGAAATTTCCAATTGAGTTGAGAAGTAGTGTCCTGAAAACCGATCGGATATCCTACATGTGGCTGGGTGCAAACTTGGAAGACCGCGTCGGGTACGGCATATGAAAAAAAAATGATCCGGTCGAGTCCAGATTTGAGATCTTGACGTTTCAAGATATTTTTACTTTTTTAAACTACTAAATTATATTAAAGCATAGGAATGAAAATTGGTGCGATTGTGATCGAGTAATTCAGTGTATTTGAGAACAGGTGACAGAAGTAGAAAACGATATCGTTTCTACTAAAAAAATTCGTTTTTAATGAAAACTCATCTATAGATGATGATGAACCATATGATAAAGTAATGGAATACATGGAGAGGAAAATAAACTATAAAAAAGGTGCACATGTATTGTCGTGATAGAAAAAGCATTCATATATGTGTAGTCACAATTACGACGTTTGATACCAACACTGCGTTTCATTCCAATGTCATCAGCAATACGCAAACGTTTACTTAGCTGAACTGATCAGATTTTAGAAGCAGAAGGGCATTAAGTGAATCTTGAATGATTTGCTTTTTTTATGGAATTTAAGATGAACCTTTGTTTTGTTGCTGTTTATGGAAGAAACTAAATAATATACTTTCTCATACAAAATAAACGTTTGAAGACTGTACCATGACTGTGAAAGTATCTGTCAGATGTCGATTAGCTGCAGTCAGATACCTGGCACAGCTACTTGGGTCCAGGTTCGGATGCAACAAATCGTATCCATGCAGGACACTATTGACAACGTCATGGATGATCTTTCTTATTGAAATTTTCATGTTAGTTTAATCTATTGAGTATCATTATTAAACTGTGCTAGCTAAGAAATTCTATATCTGTGCAATCATTGTTATCAGCAAATGCAAATCATTCAAGGGTGTCTCAAATTCACCAAGATTTGGAGGGAGGGCGACTATTGAGAACGTTGGGTTCACAACATTGAGGAAGCGTTGACTCCTTCCCTGAGATCAGTCAATAATTTTAGGCCTCTTTTTTGGATGTTTCGTGATATATAAACGGTTCATTTTATTCACTATAAACTGGTTATTTTCAATTTAAAAACTGCGTCAAATACCTAAAATATCCTTTGATTATTGACACAAAGTATGAAGATTAAATAGTATATGGTTTGAGAAATCTATTGAAAATAAACGAACACTCGCTATTGAAGCATTTATAGGCAGACAAAGATGACAAACGAAAGATTCTCCATTCTGCTATATCTTCTATGATTAATATCCATCATAATCATGTAAAAGTATAATAATTAAAATGTGAGAATAAAGATTCATAGTTCAAACATTGCCAAGAAAATCTCATACTCACCATTACCACCAAGTCATTTAATTTATTTGTATCTTTTCAGTTCTCATATACATGCACCCAAAATTAATAGCATATTTGGGATCAATTGACAAAACAATGTTATTATATCTTGATATTCTTCTTGCCTTCATGAGGTATTCAAAAGTTATGAAACTCTCGAAAGTATACTGAATTCTGTACGTTGGTACTCATAGGATTAATCTTGTTAATAAAATTATATCACCTTTTGATATTTATTCTTCCATAGTATCTTCTGTTTTATTCAACAGTTTTTATGGAATGACTGATTAAAACTTTATAAGAAATTTTTCATTTGAAATTTCAACAATGATCTATTTCTATTAGACACAAGGAAAACAGCTGAAATCAAACTTTTTAATAAAAAAAATGATGTCTTTGATTATGTTAGATTTAGTAAATAGCTATTTTTAATAACATTCGTATATGCTAACTATTTTTTATCGTGTTTTTGGTATAGTTTAGTTAAGCTGAGAGTTAGTTAAATGATACGTTTTGCGTTTCTCGATCCAGAATCACGCTGATCACGATATTTAACATCAATCTTATCTAAAAAACTACTCGATACAAGTGTAACTATTTTATTAGATCACAATGAGTACTTAAAGACACCTAAAAATCTTGTAATAATATCGAAATATCATTTGGTATTCTAAATCAGCTTATATCTAAAATGTTCATCATGAAAGTGAGGGTGAAACAGTGCCATGCATCTAATTTTTAGACTATATATATATATATTTAAAAGGACAGAAAATGATACCATTATTTCTTTACCATGACGTGCTTTCAGTGTTCTGATAAGAGCTATGGTTTCTCATGTATTAACAACAGCAAGCTGTTTGCTTATGTAGAAATTTTGTTTGTCTGTTGGTCAAAATATAGTTGAATAATCGAATTTCATAGTGTCATGAATTCGTGCATCACGAAATAGCACCAGGATCCGAAGATTACGGGTGCAGTAGAAATTTTCACAGAAGTAATACGAAATTCGATAGTTTCTGATCCGTCAGACTAAGCATTAGCGGAGAACTTTCAATCATTGGTGCGAATGTGCATCATTCCTCCTACTTTTGCGCGACCTGACCATCAGACTCTGTCCATCTGAGACGCACAAAGGTTCAGACTTTGAAGCCTGTTATGTCTTTTGTATATTATGAATAAAAAATTTCGTTGTTCGAGCAGAAAATATAAATGTCAAAATAAACAGTGGAACATCTTTGCCGCCGAAAGATAAAAAAGATAATCTTTACCATTTTGGCTCAAAGTAGATTGTTACTAAATTTAAACTATGTTGAATATACTTGACAGAAAAAAAATGAAAATAATTTTATTATAAAAAAAAATGTCAATTTTTCTTTAAATTATCTTTTTTTTTATCATGTTAATAAATTTCATAGACAAAAATATTGAAAATTCAGTTAAAGCTTTTACTCAAATTTATGAAGAAATGTGCAAATTTAAAAAAAAATGTTTATTGTATGCTCTTGCTTAAACTATATTTGTTCAGCTTTTTTGTAAACTTTTTCTATGTAAAATGTCTAGAAATTAATAAACTAGATCTCCACCCGGCCAGAGGCCGGCTAGAAAAGTCGGCTGACTGCAGAGCCCGAGAAATATCGAAATCTGATCCTATATGACATCTACTATTTCTAAACCTAAGATTCATCTAGAGGAAATGATAACGACTTAATGAACCTGAATCATAGATTTCCATATAAGGAAGCTCTCAGCTGTTCATTATCGTTCTTTATATCTCATGTGTATAAATCATGCAGGGATTTTTCTAAACGTTTTAGACTCCTTCTTGGATGAATTTAAGCTATGCAAGACGATAATTAAACTATATATGCAAATGAGATCTGAGTAATGAGTGATCTTTTAAAACTGAGTCATGTATAACCATGTAAGGAAACTATCAGCTGTTAATTATCATTTTTGATATTATTTATATCTTCCGAACGCCGTCGAATTTCGAAAAACAGATTTCAGATGTGCACTCGTCATGTTCTCAGGATCTCGCCATGGTTTTTTTCGACTGAAAATGATACTCAGGAGCTGAGAACGAGTGGCTCATGTGTCGAGAAGAAGGAGAAGAAGAAGAAGAAGAAGAATTTGCCATGGCAACTAAGCGAGTGAAAAGCAATAAGTCGGCTACTGTACTTCGTGCAGTCAGTCGACTTAAATATTATCAAACACTAACGATAGTATAGATAGACCTCTAGGAGTCAATAAGTACCTATAGAATACGAATCAAACAAAAACAAAACGTGTAATGTAGCGTCATCCTTTGTGTAAAACTCATTTTTTCCTAAAAATAAAATCCGTAGATGAATATACCGTTTAGTTTAACACATTTCTATCACAATTTCTTTTTTCTGACGTTTCCATCAAATTCAGATGTCGCCTCACTAAGTGTATTCGACATTGATTTACATTTCTTACCACACTTTATATCATCAGATTACATACTACGTATAATAATACGTTATATCATCGGAGCATTGCGGACGATTTTTTAAAATTTATATTACTGATATTTTATTCTATTGCAGTTATGTTATATTTTTTTTCAATCGATTTCATTTGAATACATTGAAATGATTTATGCATGGGAGAATATTCGTTTCTCAGGTGTAAGAAAGTAAAAGTATTGCCACATACTATGAATCATTTTTTTGCATTCATGTTGTAGTAAAAAAAAACATATCTATGACATCATTTGTGATTGTTTTTTTGTTCTATCAACACAAGTGCCGTATGAATAAATCTATTTGCCGAGTATGAGAGTTATTTATATAGTTTGGTACTATTCCGTCAGTAGTAAAGTTGGTTTGGTAAGGCAAACATGTTTAATTTAGTGGCTTATTATCGTTTCATGGTTTCTTTCTTTACTTTCTTCACAACAGGTCTAAAAGGATTAGCAATCATTTTTGCTCTAATGACATGTATTTCTTCTAAGCGTCGTCTTTCTATTTTGGTTACATTGGGAACTACAGCTGATGCTGCTCTAACATATCTTATAACTTTCATTATGACAAATTCATTAAAATATGCTGAGCGCTCTCAACTCATTCTTGATGTAGACTGGATATCACAAGTTTTTATCGTCTTCATTGTACTTCCATGTGTGTGTCTACGTATAAGCATTGGTTGGCTACTTATGACTAAGATAGAACCGTGGAATAAAGCATCATTCTCTATATGTACATTTTATGTAATTTATTGTTTATTATCCAGTACAATTGTTTTTTTTATTTTCATCCATTGCATCACATTAATGCTATGGTTGCTTTGTACATATCTCTGGTTTCTTTGGAACATTATCAAGTGGCTTCTGTGGTATTTAATTTATTAGAGACAATCAGAGAGATTAGACAAGAATTTTATGA